GCCTATCCTAATTCAGACCCTCTGATTCACACCACCCCGTGATGTTTTTCTCACTCCTACTAGTGAATGTAATGTAACACACACCCATACAATGCGCCCCACACCGTGATGTTTTTCTCACTCCTACTAGTGAATGTAATGTAACACCCAGCCATACAATCCGCACCACCCCGTGATGTTTTCTCACTCCTACTAGTTAATGTAATGTAACACTCACCCATACAATGCGCACCACCCCGCGATGTTTTTCAGAAACCTATCCTACATTGCCAATGCATGTTCCCTGACCTCCCGATGCTGACCACACCGCGGTGCTTTTCTCCATCCTACATTGCCACTCACTGCCTATCCTAATTCAGAAACTCCGATTCACACCACCCCGTGATGTTTTTCTCACTCCTACTAGTGAATGTAATGTAACACAAACCCACACAATGTTCACCACCCCGTGACGTTTTTCAGAAAACTATCCTACATTGCCACTGCATGTTCCCTGACCTCCCCATGCTGACCACCCCGCGGTGCTTTTCTCCATCCTACATTGCCACTCACTGCGTATCCTAATTCAGACCCTCCGATTCACACCACCCCTTGATGTTTTTCTCCCTCCTACTAGTGAATGTAATGTAACACACACCCATACAATGTGCCCCACCCCGCGATGTTTTTCAGAAACCTATCCTACATTGCCACTGCATGTTCCCTGACCTCCCAATGCTGACCACCCCGCGGTGCTTTTCTCCATCCTACATTGCCACTCACTGCCTCTCCTAATTCAGACACTCGGATTCACACCACCCCGTGATGTTTTTCTCACTCCTACTAGTGAATGTAATGTAACACACACCCATACAATGCGCATCACACCGCGAGGTTTTTCAGAAACCTATCCTACATTGCCACTGCATGTTCCCTGACCTCCCCATGCTGACCACCCCGCGGTGCTTTTCTCCATCCTACATTGCCACTCACTGCCTATCCTAATTCAGACCCTCCGATTCACACCACCCCGTGATGTTTTTCTCACTCCTAATAGTGAATGTAATGTAACACACACCCATACAATGCGCACTACCCCGTGATGTTTTTCTCACTCCTACTAGTGAATGTAAGGTAACACACACCCATAAAATGCGAACCACCCCGCGATGTTTTTCAGAAACCTATCCTACATTGCCACTGCATGTTCCCTGACCTCCCCATGCTGACCACCACGTGGTGCTTTTCTCCATCCTACATTGCCACTCACTGCCTATCCTAATTCAGACCCTCCAATTCACACCACCCCGTGATGTTTTTCTCACTCCTACTAGTGAATGTAATGTAACACACACCCATACAATGCGCACCACCCCGTGATGTTTTTCTCACTCCTACTAGTGAATGTAATGAACACACACCCACACAATGCGCACCACCCCGCGATGTTTTTCAGAAACCTATCCTACATTGCCACTGCATGTTCCCTGACCTCCCTATGCTGACGACCCCGCGGTGCTTTTCTCCATCTTACATTGCCACTCACTGCCTATCCTAATTCAGACCCTCTGATTCACACCCCCCGGGATGTTTTTCTCACTCATACTAGTGAATGTAATGTAACACACACCCATACAATGCGACCCACCCCGTGATGTTTTTCTCACTCCTACTGGTGAATGTAATGTAACACACAACCATACAATCCCCACCTCCCCGTGATGTTTTTCTCACTCCTACTAGTTAATGTAATGTAACACACACCCATACAATGCGCACCACCCCGTGATGTTTTTCAGAAACTTATCCTACATTGCCACTGCATGTTCCCTGACCTCCCCATGCTGACCACCCCGCGGTGCTTTTCTCCATCCTACATTGCCACTCACTGCCTATCCTAATTCAGAAACTCCGATTCACACCACCCCGTGATGTTTTTCTCACTCCTACTAGTGAATGTAATGTAACACACACCCATACAATGCGCACCACCCTGCGATGTTTTTCAGAAACCTATCCTACATTGCCACTGCATGTTCCCTGACCTCCCCATGCTGACCACCCCGCGGGGCATTTCTCCATCCTACATTGCCACTCACTGCCTATCCTAATTCAGACCCTCCAATTCACACCACCCCGTGATGTTTTTTTCACTCCTACTAGTGAATGTATTGTAACACACACCCATACAATGCGCACCACCCCGTGATGTTTTTCAGAAAACTATCCTACATTGCCACTGCTTGTTCCCTGACCTCCCAATACTGAAAAGCCCGCGGTGCTTTTCTCCATCCTACATTGCCACTCACTGCCTATCCTAATGCAGACCCTCTGATTCACACCACCCCGTGATGTTTTTCTCACTCCTACTAGTGAATGTAATGTAACACACACCCATACAATGCACACCACCCCGCAATATATTTCAGAAACCTATCCTACATTGCCACTGCATGTTCCCTGACCTCCCCATGCTGACCACCCCGCGGTGCTTTTCTCCATCTTACATTGCCACTCACTGCTTAACCTAATTCAGACCCTCCGATTCTCACCACCCCGTGATGTTTTTCTCACTCCTACTAGTGAATGTAATGTAACACACACCCATACAATGCGCACCACCCTGTGATGTTTTTCTCACTCCTACTAGTGAATGTAATGTAACACACACCCATACAATGTGCACCACCCCGCAATGTTTTTCACAAACCTATCCTACATAGCCACTGCCTGTTCCCTGACCTCCCCTTGCTGACGACCCCGCGGTGCTTTTCTCCATCCTACATTGTCACTCACTGCCATTCGTAATTCAGACCCTCTGATTCACACCACCACGTGATGTTTTTCTCACTCCTACTAGTGAATGTAATGTAACACACACCCATACAATGCGCACCACCGCGTGATGTTTTTGTCACTCCTACTAGTGAATGTAATGTAACACACACCCATACAATGCGCACCACCCCGGGATGTTTTTCAGAAACCTATCCTACATGGCCACTGCATGTTCCCTGACCTCCCCATGCTGACCACCCCACGGTGCTTTTCTCTATCCTACATTGCCACTCACTGCCGATCCTAATTGAGACCCTCCGATTCACACCACCCCGTGATATTTTTCTCACTCCTACTAGTGAATGTTATGTAACACACACCCATACAATGTGCACCACCCCGCAATGTTTTTCACAAACCTATCCTACATTGCCATGCATGTTCCCTGACCTCCCCATGCTGACCACCCCGTGGTGCTTTTCTCCATCCTACATTGCGACTCACTGCCTGTCCTAATTCAGACCCTCCAATTCACTCCACCCCGTGATGTTTTTCTCACTCCTACTAGTGAATGCAATGTAACACACACCCATACAATGCGCACCACCCCGCGATTTTTTTCAGAAACCTATCCTACATGGCCACTGCATGTTCCCTGACCACCCCATGCTGACCACCCCACGGTGCTTTTCTCTATCCTACATTGCCACTCACTGCCGATCCTAATTGAGACCCTCCAATTCACACCACCTCGTGAAGTTTTTCTCACTCCTACTAATGAATGTAATGTAACACACACCCATACAATGCGCACCACCCCGTTATGTTTTTCTCACTCCTACTAATGAATGTAATGTAACGCACACCCATACAATGCGCACCACCCCGCGATGTTTTTCTCACTCCTACTAGAGAATGTAATGTAACACACAGGCATACAATGCGCACCACCCCGCGATGTTTTTAAGAAACCTATCCTACATTGCCACTGCATGTTCCGTGACCTCCCCATGCTGACCACCCCGCGGTGCTTTTCTCCATCCTACATTGCCACTCACTGCCTATCCTAATTCAGACCCTCCGATTCACACCACCCCGTGATGTATTTCTCACTCCTACTAGTGAATGTAATGTAACACACACCCATACAATGCGCACCACCCCGTGATGTTTTTCTCACTCCTACTAGTGAATGTAATGTAACACACACCCATACAATGCGCACCACCCCGCGATGTTTTTCAGAAACCTATCCTACATTGCCAATGCATGTTCCCTGACCTCCCGATGCTGACGACCCGGCGGTGCTTTTCTCCATCCTACATTGCCCCTCACTGCCTATCCTAATTCAGACCCTCCGATTGACACCACCGCGTGATGTTTTTCTTACTCCTACTAGTGAATGTAATGTAACACACACCCATACAATGCGCACCACCCCGTGATGTTTTGCTCACTAATACTAGTGAATGTAATGTAGCACACACCCATACAATGCGCACCACCCGGCGTTGTTTTTCAGAAACCTATCCTACATTGCCACTGCATGTTCCCTGACCTCCCCATGCTGACCACCCCGCGGTGCTTTTCTCCATCCTATATTGCCACTCACTGCCTCTCCTTATTCAGACCCTCCGATTCACACCACCCCGTGATGTTTTTCTCACTCCTACTAATGAATGTAATGTAACACACACCCATACAATGCGCACCACCCCGGGATGTTTTTCTCACTCCTACTAGTGAATGTAATGTAACACACAACCATACAATTAGCACCACCCCGCGATGTTTTTCAGAAACGTATCCTACATTGCCAATGCATGTTCCCTGACCTCCCCATGCTGACCACCCCGCGGTGCTTTTCTCCATCCTACATTGCCACTCACTGCCTATCCTAATTCAGACCCTCCGATTCACACCACCCCGTGATGTTTTTCTCACTCCTAATAGTGAATGTAATGTAACACACACCCATACAATGCGCACCACACCGCGATGCTTTTCTCACGCCTACTAGTGAATGTAATGTAACACACAAACATACAATGCGCACTACCCCATGATGTTTTTCTCACTCCTACTAGTGAATGTAATGTAACACACACCCATGCAATGCGCACCACCCCGTGATGTTTTTCAGAATCCTATCCTACATGGGCACTGCATGTTCCCTGACCTCCCCATGCTGACCACCCCGCTGACCGGAGCCGCGGGAGACAGGAGACCAAACTCGAGCAGGATCAGCTCTCAAACTTTATTACGTACAGCGAACCGGACCTGACAAGGTCCGCCACCCTCGGTGTTGATTCCTCTTCCGCCGTTGGGGGCAGGAACAACCTCTTATAAGGGGAAGCAGTATCCAATCACAGAGAAGCGCGCCTAACAAGCTGATAGGCTAGCGTCACGGGTAACTGGGCAGATATGACAATTTGGCGGGCTTGTTCAGGCCGGGAAGAACCCGGAAGCAGGAAATGGGCGCCATCATAGGCGGCTTCCCACATCTCCCCCTTTTTTATTTATTAAAATAGGATGGTCTGTAGGTCCCTCCAAGGTGTCTATGACCTTGTTGCTGTTAGACACCTAGGAGTGGGCCTACCTTGTAGGCCGAGGCATGAGAGAATGTAGAGGTCTATACCCTGCTGTGCATCACCCTGTTTTGTGCATATCCTTGCGCCAGGACCATGCTCAAGGTGAGTGGTTCATTTTTTCGCAGGGCCAGGCTTTTGTGAACCGAACCTGGATGCATATAGACATTCATTCCTGCCTTCCCCCCAACCTTTGGGGCGGATGGCACTGCAGTACCCTTGGTCTCGCATCTCAATGCCAATAATTTGACTCCGGGAGGGACCCCTGGCCTTATAGGCCATGTATATCTGAGTGGAGCCTGTCTTAGGTTGACCGGGAGGGCTTTTCCCGTCTTACCCGTCATTGGCTTGCCCACTCAGCTCTTATAGCTGATGTTCTGCAATGTGAAGGAGATATGCGGCGGCCTGCTGGCCTGATGGGCCACCTGCTGCCATTTGCATGGCTGCCATAGCTGTGATCTTAACCTGCTGCTGAGTTTGTATGAGGCGATCTAACAAGCATTTAATAACCACAAGCCCTACTAGGATAGCCATGGCAATTAGCATAATCAAGGACTGTTTGATTGATGGTGTAAACCCTGGGTGAGGCGGGCGAGGCCGCCGAAAAAGGTGCCAATGTAGGCGGGTGGTGCCAAGGACCCCAAAGATATTGTGGTGGTTCTGTGGAATCTGAGCATATCACAGGGGTGATTAATAGGAACCCACAGAATAGAAAAAACTCCAAACCAGACATTTTAGTTTGTAGATGGTCTCGGGCGCTGAGCGTCGGTCCCAGAAGGGTCGAGTTGACTTGTGTCCGCGGGCTTATCCTCCTGTGCTTTATCAGGAACTGGTGGGGAGTTTCCTGCTCGCGTCAATCTTTCCGGGACCCACAGCGGTTCGCAGCCTGGTTCCTGTGGGAAAACACAAACCGCACCTCGGGTCCAGCTAACCACTGGATCCGGGCCCATCCATTGTCCTGTAAGGACATCTTTCCATCTCACCAGCCCTTTGTCGGCCGGGGACGGATTGCTATGTTCCATGGCAGGGGAATGATTTTTATGATTAAGGTTTAAAAAATTTATGGTAAAGAGTGCCAATGATATTCTTCCTTTGGGCGTTAGGCCGTGGCCACCCAATTCACGGCACAGGCATGTCCACTCTTCTAAGGACCTATTTTTGTTAGTTCTTAGGACATCACGGCACTCCTTAGTGCACTGTTCAAAAATCAATTGTTTTATGAGAGGGTGAGCCGCCTCAGCATCTGGAAAAATCCTGTTAGCGGCCTCAAGCATGCGGGCCACAAAGTCTGAAAATGGCTCTCCCTGCCCTTGTATAATTTTTGTAAGGTGACCCGTATGTTCTCCCTTTCCAGCCAGCCATCTCCAGGCCTGGAGGCCACAGCGGCTAATTTGTTCATAAACCTGGCGAGGGTATTGAGTTTGATCTTCCTCAAAGGCTCCTCGCCCTAATAGCATATCCCTGTTCCACTCTCTCTGGTTATTTTCCCTGTTGGCTGCCGCCTGCTCTACACAGAATTCCTCATTCCAGGACTTCTAATCTAAATATTGTCCGGGGGAGAGGCAGGCGCGTGCCAGCTGGGTCCAATCTCCAGGAGTTAAAAGCAGACCTGCCAATGCCTCTAAAAGCGCCATGGTAAATGGCGCATTGGGCCCATAAGCTGAAACTGCGTCCTTGATAGTTTTAAGTTGTTTAATTTCTAAGGGCTCATAATATCCTCCTCCTCCCCTGCCTCCTACTTGTACCGGGAATGCATGGAGACCGGAACACTCAAAGGGAAGCTGCGACCATACCCTCTGGTGGAAGGAACGTCCTCCTCCCTCCCCAGATGGGGGCGCAGAAGGCAACCCAGGAAGTAGCTCTCCCTCTAACCAGGGCGGTGCCATAGGTTGTGGTGGCAGCCCAGGGAGCAACTCCTCTTCCGGCCACGGCGGTGCAGTGGGGCCTGGCGCCCTGAAGGGAGCGACCATGGGTCGCGAACTTGCCAAAGGGCGGAAGGGCTTAGTGGGGCCTGGCGCCCTGAAGGGGGTGATCGTGGGTGTTTGGTTCCCCTTTTTATCTTCCCGAGCCCTGAATTCCTCTTTAAGCTGTGCAGGAGGGTCCTGTTTAGCGAAGACAACCTCCTCTTCTGAACCTTCCGAATCAGAATCAGAATTAGAGCCCTGAGGGTCCTCCGGAGACCCACAATCGGCAGTGGCTCCGGGCTCCTCTGAGCATTCCGATCGAGCTCTATCAAAAGCCTGTCGGGCTGTATTAGCGAAGCGAAAGCAAAACAGATGCAAAGGGAAAAGAAAAGAAAAAAAAAAAAAAACCGGCGTCCACTCGTGTGGCCCTCAAAATCTGTTAGGTGCGTCCACCCAACCCAGGTGACCCAGTACTCACCTGTCCCGGGAACCGCTGTATCTCACGTAGCTGATCAGGGTGAAGAGAAGAGGTGCTCGCGGCCTTCCGTTGTTATTGGGCCAGGTCCTCCGTCGTACCGCAGGCGACAGCAATCGCACCTCCCGGCCGAAGAGGCACGTCGCTGAGTCTTTTACCTTTTTCCCCGTACGGGGGCCACCAGATGACCGGAGCCGCGGGAGACAGGAGACCAAACTCGAGCAGGATCAGCTCTCAAACTTTATTACGTACAGCGAACCGGACCTGACAAGGTCCGCCACCCTCGGTGTTGATTCCTCTTCCGCCGTTGGGGGCAGGAACAACCTCTTATAAGGGGAAGCAGTATCCAATCACAGAGAAGCGCGCCTAACAAGCTGATAGGCTAGCGTCACGGGTAACTGGGCAGATATGACAATTTGGCGGGCTTGTTCAGGCCGGGAAGAACCCGGAAGCAGGAAATGGGCGCCATCATAGGCGGCTTCCCACACCCCGCGGTGCTTTTCTCCCTCCTATATTGCCACTCACTGCCTATCCTAATTCAGACCCCCCGATTCACACCACCCCGTGATGTTTTTCTCACTCCTACTAGTGAATGTAATGTAACACACACCCATACAATGCGCACCACCCCGTGATGTTTTTCTCACTCCTACTAGTGAATGTAATGAACACACACCCACACAATGCGCACCACAACGCGATGTTTTTCAGAAACCTATCGTACATTGCCACTGCATGTTCCCTGACGTCCCCATGCTGACGACCCCGCGGTGCTTTTCTCCATCCTACGTTGCCACTCACTGCCTATTCTAATTCAGACCCTCTGATTCACACCCCCTGTGATGTTTTTCTCTCTCAAACTAGTGAATGTAATGTAACACACACCCATACAATGCACACCACCCCGTGATGTTTTTCTCATTCCTACGAGTGAATGTAATGTAACACACACCCATACAATGCGCACCACCCCGTGATGTTTTTATCACTCCTACTAGTGAATGTAATGTAACACACACCCATACAATGCGCACCACCCCGCGATGTTTTTCAGAAACCTATCCTACATTGCCACTGCATGTTCCCTGACCTCCCCATGCTGACCACCCCGCGGTGCTTTTCTCCATCCTACATTGCCACTCACTGCCTATCCTAATTCAGATCTTCCGATTCACACCACCCCGTGATGTTTTTCTCAATCCTACTAGTGAATGTAATGTAACACAAACCCATACAATGTGCACCACCCCGCGATGTTTTTCAGAAACCTATCCTACATTGCCACTGCATGTTCCCTGACCTCCCCATACTGATCACCCCGCGGTGCTTTTCTCCATCCTACATTGCCACTCACTGCCTATCCTAATTCAGACCCTCTGATTCACACCACCCCATGATGTTTTTCTCACTCCTACTAGTGAATGTAATGTAACACACACCCATACAATGCGCCCCACCCCGTGATGTTTTTCTCACTCCTACTAGTGAATGTAACGTAACACACAACCATACAATCCGCACCACCCCGTGATGTTTTCTCAATCCTACTAGTTAATGTAATGTAACACTCACCCATACAATGCGCACCACCCCGCGATGTTTTTCAGAAACCTATCCTACATTGCCACTGCATGTTCCCTGACCTCCCCATGCTGACCACCCCGTGGTGCTTTTCTCCATCCTACATTGCCACTCACTGCCTATCCTAATTCAGACCCTCCGATTCACTCCATCCCGTGATGTTTTTCTCACTCCTACTAGTGAATGTAATGTAACACACAACCATACAATGCCAACCACCCCGTGACGTTTTTCAGAAACCTATCCTACATGGCCACTGCATTTTCCCTGACCTCCCCATGCTGACCACCCCGCGGTGCTTTTCTCTATCCCACATTGCCACTCACTGCCTATCCTAATTGAGACCCTCCGATTAACACCACCTCCTGATGTTTTTCTCACTCCTACTACTGAATGTAATGTAACACACACCCATACAATGCGCACCACCCCCTTATGTTTTTCTCACTCCTACTAGTGAATGTAATGTAACACACACCCATACAATGCGCACCACCCCGCGATGTTTTTCTCACTCCTACTAGAGAATGTAATGTAACACACACGCATACAATGCGCACCACCCCGCGATGTTTTTCAGAAACCTATCCTACATTGCCACTGCATGTTCCGTGACCTCCCATGCTGACCACCCCGCGGTGCTTTTCTCCATCCTACATTGCCACTCACTGCCTATCCTAATACAGACCCTCCGATTCACACCACCCCGTGATGTATTTCTCACTCCTACTAGTGAATGTAATGTAACACTCACCCACACAATGCGCACCACCCCGTGATATTTTTCTCACTCCTACTAGTGAATGTAATGTAACACACACCCATACAATGCGCACCACCCCGCGATGTTTTTCAGAAACCTATCCTACATTGCCAATGCATGTTCCCTGACCTCCCGATGCTGACCACCCGGCGGTGCTTTTCTCCATCCTACATTGCCCCTCACTGCCTATCCTAATTCAGACCCTCCGATTCACACCACCGCGTGATGTTTTTCTCACTCCTACTAGTGAATGTAATGTAACACACACCCATACAATGCGCACCACCCCGTGTTGTTTTGCTCACTAATACTAGTGAATGTAATGTAACACACACCCATACAATGCGCACCACCCCGCGTTGTTTTTCAGAAACCTATCCTACATTGCCACTGCATGTTCCCTGACCTCCCCATGCTGACCACCCAGCAGTGCTTTTCTCCATCCTATATTGCCACTCACGGCCTCTCCTAATTCAGACCCTCCGATTCACACCACCCCGTGATGTTTTTCTCACTCCTACTAATGAATGTAATGTAACACACACCCATACAATGCGCACTACCCCGTGATGTTTTTCTCACTCCTACTAGTGAATGTAATGTAACACACTCCCATACAATGCGCACCACCCCGCGATGTTTTTCAGAAACGTATCCTACATTGCCACTGCATGTTCCCTGACCTCCCCATGCTGACCACCCCGCGGTGCTTTTCTCCATCCTACATTGCCAATCACTGCCTATCCTAATTCAGACCCTCAAATTCACACCACCCCGTGATGTATCTCTCACTCCTACTAATGAATGTAATGTAACACACACCCATACAATGCGCACTACCCCGTGATGTTTTTCTCACTCCTACTAGTGAATGTAATGTAACACACACCCATACAATGCGCACCACCCCGCGATGTTTTTCAGAAACCTATCCTACATTGCCACTGCATGTTCCCTGACCTCCCCATGCTGACCACCCCGCGGTGCTTTTCTCCATCCTATATTGCCACTAACTGCCTATCCTAATTCAGACCCTCCGATTCACCCCACCGCGTGATGTTTTTGTCACTCCTATTAGTGAATGTAATGTAACACAAAACCGTACAATACGCACCACCCCGTGATATTTTTTTCACTAATACTAGTGAATGTAATGTAACACACACCCATACAATGTGCACCACCCCGCGATGTTTTTCAGAAACCTATCCTACATTGCCACTGCATGTTCCCTGACCTCCCCATGCTGACCACCCCGCGATGCTTTTCTCCATTCTACATTGCCACTCACTGCCTCTCCTAATTCAGACACTCCGATTCACACCACCCCGTGATGTTTTTCTCACTCCTACTAATGAATGTAATGAAACACACACCCATACAATGCCCACCACCCCGTGATGCTTTTCTCACTCCTACTAGTGAATGTAATGTAACACACACCCATACAATGCGCACCACGCCGCGATGTTTTTCAGAAACCTATCCTACATTGCCACTGCATGTTCCCTGACCTCCCGATGCGGTCCACCCCGCGGTGCTTTTCTCCATCCTACATTGCCACTCAATGCCTATCCTAATTCAGACCCTCTGATTCACACCACCGCGTGATGTTTTTCTCACTCCTACTAGTGAATGAAATGTAACACACACCCATACAGCGCGCACCACCCCGTGATGTTTTTCTCACTCCTACTAGTGAATGTAATGTAACACACACCGAACAATGCCCCCACCCCGCGATGTTTTTCAGAAACCTATCCTACATTGCCACTGCATGTTCCCTGACCTCCCCATGCTGACCACCCCGCGGTGCTTTTCTCCATCCTACATTGCCACTCACTGCCTATCCTTATTCAGACCCTCCGAATCACACCACCCCGTGATGTTTTTCTCACTCCTACTAGTGAATGTAATGTAACACACACCCATACAATACGCACCACCCCGTGATGTTTTTCTTACTCCTACTAGTGAATGTAATGTAACACACACCCATACAATGCGCACCACCCCGTGATGTTTTTCTCATTCCTACTAGTGAATGTAATGTAACACACACCCATACAATGCGCACCACCCAGCAATGTTTTTCAGAAACCTATCCTAAATAGCCACTGCCTGTTCGATGACATCCCGTTGCTGACGACCCCGCGGTGCTTTTCTCCATCCTACATTGCCACTCACTGCCATTCCTAATTCAGAGCCTCTGATTCACACCACCCCGTGATGTTTTTCTCACTCCTACTAGTGAATATAATGTAACACACACCCATACAATGCGCACCACCCCACGATGTTTTTCAGAAACCTATCCTACATTGCCACTGCATGTTCCCTGACCTCCACATGCTGACCACCCCGCGGTGCTTTTCTCCATCCTACATTGCCACTTACTGCCTATCCTAATTCAGACCCTCCGATTCACACCACCCCGTGATGTTTTTCTCACTCCTACTAGTGAATGTAATGTAACACACAGCCATACCATGTGCACCACCCCGCAATGTTTTTCAGAAACCTATCCTACATTGCCACTGCATGTTCCCTGACCTCCCCATGCTGACCACCCCGTGGTGCTTTTCTCCATCCTACATTGCCACTCACTGCCTATCCTAATTCAGACCCTCCGATTCACCCCCTCCCGTGATGTTTTTCTCACTCCTACTAGTGAATGTAATGTAACACACACCCATACAATGCCAACCACCCCGTGATGTTTTTCAGAAACCTATCCTACATGGCCACTGCATTTTCCCTGACCTCCCCATGCTGACCACCCCGCGGTGCTATTCTCTATCCTACATTGCCACTTACTGCCTATCCTAATTGAGACCCTCCGATTCACACCACCTCCTGATGTTTTTCTCACTCCTACTAGTGAATGTAATGTAACACACACCCATACAATGCGCACCACACCGTTATGTTTTTCTCACTCCTACTAGTGAATGTAATGTAACACACACCCATACAATGCGCACCACCCCGCGATGTTTTTCTCACTCCTACTAGAGAATGTAATGTAACACACACGCATACAATGCGCACCACCCCGCGATGTTTTTCAGAAACCTATCCTACATTGCCAATGCATGTTCCCTGACCTCCCGTTGCTGACCACCCGGCGGTGCTTTT